AGTTTTTGAAGACAAGCATTTTTTTGTGGTTATCTCTCTCTCTTGGTGTTCCTCGCACAATCATGGAGGTGCTGAACCAGTCGATTGTATTCTTCATCAATGTTGTCAATGTCAGCATCTTCCCATGTTGCAGCAACAGAGCCAAAGAGCTCCCAGTTTGTGTTCATTCTGGGAGTGCTCTTCTTAAACTTTGCATTTATTAGAATAGAGGAAGGTAGTATGAGACTAATATCTAAGGATAGAATAAAACAGGGGCCAGGATGACTGATCACGTTTGGAAGCATGCCACAAGTATGGGGGGAGGTAAATTAGAATAAAAAAGGGACTACTATGATATTAATAGTTGGAAATGATCACTCTGGACAAGAACTGAGTGCTGAAAGTATGAAAAGGGATAAATACATGATAACCTTTCAGTATCTGTATGGCAAACCATAATACTCAAAATATCCAAAAGAAAGAGAGAGAGAGAGAGAGAAGTGAGGGGAGAGGAGAAAGAGAAGAGAGAGGAGAAAAAAGAGAGGCAGAGAGAGAGAGAGAAGTGCCTACCATAGGAGCAGGTGGGGTGAGGAGTGCAGGCAGGAGGGAAACTGGTTAGGTAGGTGATGGGAAATGTACACTGGTAAAGAGACAGCTCTTGGAACATTGTATGACTTAAAGCTAATTAAGAACATCTTTGTAACTCTGTATCTCGTGACGACTCAATTAAAAATTAAGTTAAGGTATAAAAAAATACTCTTAGTAGAAAAAACAGGTATATATAACCTTGAATACAACAATGAATACTTAGTTATGGTATGAACAGCAATAGCCAAAAAAATTTTTTAAAAAAATAAAATATTTTTTATAAAAAAATAAAAGCCTCACATTTCTTTTTTTAATTTTTTTCTATTAGTGAAACACCATGAGGTACAGTTGTAGACTTACAAATTTTTGTGCTTGGGTTTCAATTATACAATGATCAAATACCCATCCCTCCATCAATGCCCATTTTCCACTACCATGGATCCCAGTATCCCTCCCACACCCGTCCCCCCCATCCCACCCTGCTTCTGTGGCAGGGCATTCCCTTTTGTTCTCTCTCTCCTTTTAGGTTTTGTGGTCTGCATTGAGTGGCAGTCATGTTCAGTCCATAGTCTACTTTCAACATGCATCTCCCCTCCTGGGAGGATCCTCCAAACACCATTTATTTGGTGCTCCCTTCTCTATCTGAGTTGCCCTTTCCCCTAGAATGCCCGGCTGGCCTCTAAGTCATGGAGTAATCCTCCTGGTACTGATCTCAGCTATTTTTGGGTATTAATCTAATATTTTGTTACTTTATGTCCCCCAGATGCAAGCAATCTTTCTATGTCTATCCCTCTCTTTCTGGCTCATTTCGCTTAGCATGATACTTTCCATGTAGTACCACTTGTATGTAAATTTCATGACTTCATCTTTTCTAACAACTACATAGTACTCCATTGTACAGATGTACCAAAGTTTTTTTAACCAGTCATCTTTTCTTGGGCCCTCAGTTTTTTTCCAGATTCTGGCTATTGTAAACAGTGCTACAATGGAAAAACAAGTGCAGATGTCACTTTGACTATACTTTTTTGCCTCTCTGAGATATATTACCAGGAGTGGCATTGCTGGGTCAAATAGGAGCTCGATTTCTAATTTTTTTAGAATCATCCATACTGTTTTCCAAAAGGGCTGAACCAGTCGGCATTCCCACTAGCAGTGAAGAAGTGTCCCTTTCTCACCACATCTGTGCCAGCATCAGTTGCTTTTGTTCTTTTGGATGTAGGCCAGCCTCAGAGGCATGAGATGGTATCTCATTCTGGTTTTGATCTGCATCTTCCTGATGATTAATGACGTAGAGCATTTTCTCACATGCCTTTTTGCCATTCGAATTTCTGCTTTGAGAAAATTTCTGTTCATTTCATTGCCCCATTTTTTGATGGGGTTGGATGTTTCATTCTTGTGGAGTTCAACCAGTACCTTATATATCTTTGATATCAACCCCTTGTCGAATGTGTATTTGGCGAATATCCTTTCCCATTCTGTAGAATGTCTTTGTATTTTGGCCACTGTTTCTTTTGAGGTGCAGAAGCTTCTTAGTTTATGATAATCCCATTTATCTATCTCTATTTTCACTTGCTTGGCCAGTGGCCTGACATCTTTGAAGACACCATTAGCTTCAATGTCATGGAGGGTTTTGCCAACTTTGTCTTCAATGTACCTTATAGATTCCAGTCTGATGTTAAGGTCTTTAATCCAATTGATCTTACGTTTGTACATGGTGTTAGGCAGAGTTCTGAGCCCATTTTTTTTGCATGTAGCCGTCAGTTTTGCCAGCACAATTTGTTAAAGAGGCTTTCGTTACTCCACTTCACATTTCTTGCTCCTTTATCAAAGATTAGATGACCAGATGATTCAACCCTGTTCCATTGGTCTGCAACTCTGCCTTTGTTCTAGTACCATGCTGTTTTAATTATTACTGAAAAGCCTCACATTTCAAATAAAACTATCAAGAAAGTGAAAAGACAAATCTCAGAACAGAAAAAATGAACGTCTCTCTTGAGTATCCACCTCCAGCCTCTTATGCAAATGTTTTCTGCGTCAGCTCCATCCCTCTTTATTCCCCCTCTTTTTACTGTCTCTGAGTCTTTCATTTCTACTTGTCACCTCCTTTCTTATTTCTTTTCTGTACCTGCTTAGACATCATTTCTTAATAGCAAAGTAAAAATGATCATTCTCCAATTCAGCCACATCACTTTCCCCAGAAAGGATATCTAAACCTCAGCTCCTCCACTGAACGCACACTCAAAGGAACAAGACGTGCTATCTTTTCAAGCTGCTACCCACACAGAGAAGAGAACAAGGCCATCTAACTTTCTGACATCACGAGCTAGAAACCTCTCTTCCCCTCAACCTTGTCACCCCTCACCCTCCACTCTCCCACCCTTCACCCCTGGAATTGCATACTGAGCCACAGAATTTGTACAAGTGCAGTTTGGGCTTTATCTTTTCTTTTCCTATAACCAGTAAAACCAGATTGGGTAACTCCCCATCCTTGAAACTCTTCATGCCTCCAAACAGCCCCATCCAGTCACTGGGCCCTGCTAGTTATGCTCAGCCCTGACTTTAGGTCTCACAACTTGCTGCCAGACCTGAGTCAACGGGATCATCAGCTGTGGTGAGGACCACCAGGACTGAGCTCTAGGATATTTAAGCAAGGAGGGGATTGAGAAAAGGTAAATTTCAGTTTTTGTTTCTGCCTCAATTTGCTCTGGAGAACAAGGAACATCGTTTCCCTCTGGTCTTCTGGACCATCAGCTTCACGCCCATGTTTGAGACATACATAATATTTCTTGAGACACAATATAAAGCAGACACTCTGCCTCTTAAAAAACCTGAGATAAAATGGATTATAAGGCAAAAATGTTATAAAGAGGTAAGAGTAAAGAAGGTTATAACTGATGATATTAAATTATTTTATTTAATACATGGACAAATATATGGACACACATATATGGACAGAAACTAAAAATAATGGTTTTATATGGAGACGTCACTGGGCCCACTGGAGCAAATCAATGAACAACAGGAGAACCGTGACCGTGACCGTGACAATAATATTTATAAAGAATTTACAAATTTCTTTTTTTGATTTTTCATTTTTTGTACATTCTTAGGCAGCAAGACACATTGTACATTGTTATTTCATTCTATTTGGAACTCATCAGTACAGTGTAGCTGAAGAATACAAAATGCAAAGCATTATTATTTATCAACCCCAAAGTATATAAATATGTCTGCTTGGATACCAACTGCCTAAAAGACTCTCAGCATGTCAATCTGTCATGAAAGTGGGAGTTTAAGTCAAACATGCTAGATTTTTTTAATTTCCTAATATTTTAATTATTTAGTTATATATTATATATAATAACATATAATATATATGTAAATAAGCTATATTGTAATGGTCCGCCTCCAGAAGTTCTTGGGATGTGAGGTAAACACTCCCAGTTACTCTCAGCCCTGACTTGGGTCTCATAATTTGATGTGAGGCTGAGCCAATGGGATCGTCAACTGTACTGAGGACCATTAGAGCTGAGCTGTAGGTGTTGTAAAAAAAAAAGGCCCTCCCGTTGATCGTCGATTTGCTCGAGCGGGCCCAGTAACGTCTCCATTGGAGACTTTGTTGTTACTGTGTCTGGCATATCGAATACTCTCGGTAGCATGCCGGGCTCTCCGAGAGGGGCAGAGGAATCGAACTCGGGTCGGCCATGTTGGCCGCTTGTAAGGCAAACGCCCTACCCGCTGTGCTATCGCTCCAGCCCTAGCGGGTGGAAATCACACTCAGGGCCACTAGGCATGTGCTCTACCGCTCCAACTGGCTTTTCAGCCCAAGAATGCTGATACTCTGAATGTTTCTCAAAATGAAAATGCTGAAGTGTAAAAATTACTTTGTTAATAAGTAGAATTATTTAAGATGCAGAGAATAAGAATATTGCTTAACAATATTACTTTAGGGGCAGGAGCGATGGCACAGCAGGTAGAGTGTTTGCTTTGCACATGGCTGACCTGGGTTCGATTCCCAGCATCCCATATGGTTCCCTGAGCACTGCCAGGAGTAATTCCTGAGTGCAAAACCAGGAGTAACCCCTGAATATTGCTGGACATGACCCAAAAAGAAAAAAAATAGAAGATTACTTTAAAAAGTATCTCCCTACATGTGTAATAGACAGCAAAATAACTCTGAACATAATTTAAATTACCAAATCACTTAGGTTTTTCTCATGAGCTGTTAAAGAGATTTTGTCTGGTTTTTCAAATAGTCATTTTCTGTCCAGTGTTTGTAAGGAAAATAACAGTCTATGCAGGGAAAGTTTTACGTATAATCTAGAAGTGGAGTTCTTGATGTTGACTTCTTTCTCTGGGTTCAAGTTATAAGTATTAATTTGTACCTAAAGGTCTATTTAATTTAGAATCAACTTGTCACAAATCTCTGTTTCATTTTGGTGAGGGAAGGCTCCCTGCGATTCTCTCTGACTCAGTTTTCATCTTTGCTGTCAACTGATATTACACATTTTTAGGTCAACACTTTGAGAAAAACATTCAGCAACTGTAGATAACAAGTACAATGCAGCTTTTCTACTCATGAGTTTGAAGCAATTTGACAGATGGACACATTGGGCTTGCTGCAAATCCATTTTTTGTCTGAGTAAATCCTGGCACTGCTCAGGCCATTGTCATTCAAGTAGGCACATTCCCCAGTTCCTCTGACCTGAAACCTGAAACAAAACAAACAATTATTCCTACACTAAACATCTTGCATTCATTCCTCCATGTCATCTGTAATACCTCTAGTCAACTTTTTTCAATAGAAGAAGCTCTGTAGCACTGTCCTCCAGTTGTTCATTGATTTGCTCGTGCAGGCCCAGTAACGTCTCCATTGTGAGACTTGTTGTTACTGTGTTTGGCAGATCGAATACTTCACGGGTAGCTTGCCAGGCTTTGCCGTGTGGGCGAGATACTCTCGGTAGCTGGCCGGGCTCTCCAAGAGGAGCGGAGGAATCGAAACAGGGCTGACCAGGTCAGCCACGTGCATGGCAAACGCCTTACCCACTGTGCTATCGAAGTAAAAAAAATATATCACTTATGTGATTTATTAGTAATAAACAACATTTTTATATTTAGTTTTTCTTGACATTTTCAAGACACATGTTTGAACACCACCAACTATATGATTCACCCAATACAAATCTAGTTATATTGTTGATCTAGTCACTTTATGTATTTTGTCATGTTGCATCAGTGAAAATCATTCTCAGTCTTCTCACTAACTACTTCATAAATGTATAAGATAAAAATAGTTATTAGCAATGTGCTAAAGAGCTTTATTTTGATGAAAGTGATCAGGTCTTTATATTTTATACATCTCCAATAACCTGATTGAACTGTCGACAACACAGGGAGCTACAGTTTCTACTGGTAAATCTCCCAGAGAGATTTCCACAGGTTCTCTTTGAACCTTTATTCCTTACTTTTGTGAATGGATGCAGCAACTGGAAAATGGATTTTTGAAGGCTTTATAGGGATCAAATTATCAGTGATTTTCTAGGATTTTAGAATACTTCCCCCACCTCTTTTCCACTGCATACCAGCAGCTTTTTATGCCTTCTAAACCAATATTTCATCAGAAAAACATCTGAATCATGATATTAAAGTATAAGAACATACACATGGCATTATCATATTAAATATTTAATCTAAAATGACAATGAATTGAGTTTTCATGGAACTGGCTAGTAAATGGAAAGGCATAGAAAGTTCTATTTCTTTTACAGTACTATAGGTTTTCTATATTAAAGTTATGTTTTATAAACATCCTAAGTCATCATAGCAAAAGGAAAAAAGTCTCAATACATACACAGTGTTGCCTCCAGTATTATTTGTCCATTTCCAAGAGTGACTTGGTGATTCTCTGCTAAGGCCTATCCAGTGGTCGTAAGGGCCTTTGTATCTTTTCAGAAATTTCTATTATAAAGAACAAAAAGTGAAAAAATGCATCTTTCTCATTTACCACTCCTGAGTCGGTATTTCCTGCAGTCTTCTACTGGGGATGAGAGCAGGGTATAATTGAAAAAGTTATTCTCTACCCTTTTATTATCCTGAATCATTATTCTCTGTCTCTGCTCCTAAACCTCTTTGTTTAAAAGAATCATTTCTCCCAATGTTAGTGGCAAAGTCTCTTTGTGCCTATTGTTTTAGTATATTGTGAACACTGTAACTCCCATAATTTGAATGAAAAATTATGTGAATACAATAATTCTCTACACAGGGAACAGTTCACCTAAGCTTCTAGGTCGACTATGAGGATTACATCAGAGAACGTATCTGACATGTCTCACTGGGTTCTAGGCAGAGAATTCAACACATGTCAGAAGCTTGTCTGTGCCCTGTCCTCCAGATTGAATTGAGGACATCGTTATCTTTCAGCATTAGCCCGGTGCAGCCCCCCACCCTCTGCGTGGAGCTCCCTTTTCAACAGATGATATGCTTTTAAAAATTTGTATTATATGCTGGAGCATTGGGAGAAATTGGACGGGGCCACTTCCTGCAAAGCTCAGTCCAGTGTGCACCAGCAGTGCTAGGGCAAGCAGGGTGATATGCGGACCCTGGGGTGTTTGGCATGTGGTGCTGGCAGCTGAACTCAGGACCCTGAATATGACAGGCATGTGTTTTCACACTTGTACTGTCTGCCTGGTGCCTCGGAACAATATTTACCAATTCATCTGAGGTGTCAATCTGCACAAGATGAGCTTCCAGTAAGTCACAGAAAGTCTGGCTGAATGTCCAGTTCCCTGTTTCTTCAGAAAAATAAAAGCACTTGTTTCCAAATCCAATCCACTTTGGTGGGCATGCGGGATGCTCATGAATTTTTGAGACTTGTATTTCTGCCGAGACTGCTCTTTCCTTTCTTACTAAAATTTGGATAATCACAGAAAACATAATAAATATATTTTCTTATTATTTTAATCTATTTTCTCACTTATCATCCGAAGGTTACTGCTAACATTATAGACTGGTAATTGTAATTTTCTAACTCATCAGAAAGTTTTATCCTAAGTACAATAGTCAACTATCCCCTGGTCGGGGATATCTATGCATCTCATTTTACAAGGTGTACATTGATATTAATGATTTAGGGATAATAAATTTATAAAGCACCAAGTCCATGGTACTTCTTATAGATAATGCTAATTTCTGCAAAGGGTAAGTATATGATATTCCTAGTATCATATAGATTCTCTTCTTCTATTCCCTTAATATTAGCTCCTCTTCCTCTTGACATCTCTCATATCCTGAATTTTACTATGGTGCATACTCAGGAGCTATAAAAGCTTTCTCTGGACAAAAATAACAACCCAAATATTATTCTGTTAACAAAAATACAATTCAGGGCTTTCTACATTTTTACCTTTTTATTTTATATGTGCTTTTAAAAAAATAAATAAAACATTGTTGGCTCTTCTTAAATATTCTGAAATAATATTTCAGAGTAAGGTGTAGGAAGAATCAACTATTCTCATTTCACATTCTTTCTGAATTTCTTGCTCTCCTTTAGATGCTAAAACAACATTGTTCTGTAGGACCAGTGAAAGAAAAAATAATAGTATCAAAATATATTTAGCACCAATGATGATTTTAATTTCCCCACATTTAAAGAAAAATAATCTCTTACATTTTTCTCAATCTTTAACCCTAGAGAGCTTAGATTAGAGAGCTGAGAGAACATGTGTGTCGAGATCAGTATCACTGTTTCTTTAAAAAAGAATGAAGCAAGAGCCCTGGAACAATAGTATAGTGGGTAGGGTTCTGACTTTACATACACAACCAGTATTGATCTCTGGAAGCTCATAAAGTCTACAAGCTCAACCAAGAGATACCCATGTGCAAAGAGCCAGGTGTAAGCCCTCGCCATAACCAGGTGTGTCACCCCCAAACAAAATATACCCCGCTAAATTATTAGGGAGAATCACTTATACTTTAAATTATGCTGAATAATAAAAACACATTGGTAGACCTGGGATTGGGGATTTTACATATTACACTGTGATAAAACTCAAGTAGAAATATAAAATTATGGACATTTTGTGCTTGTGTTATCTCAAATGAACAGTGGTAGTTATCAAGAGAATTCAGATTCTAAATAGAGAAACATAAAAAGAACAGTATCACAAGACCATTTTTAATTGACATTTACAAATATTCTAAGGACTATAATTCTAGGAACTATATAATTAGCAACAAATTAAACTTCAGTAAAAATTGTTAGTTGTTATTAGATTTAACAAATTCTTTAAGATAGGCTCAGAACATGCCTTGTTTATATGAGACCCTCACTTGAATCCCCAGCTTGCATCTCCTCTTCCCTTGCTCCTCACCCCAGCCAAAATAAGAAATAAAAAAATGTCTGGGTCACATTATGAGTGGTTGGAAAAAGACCTGATTAGAAATAAAAAAATCAGAATAGATGAAATAATTATTTATTAATGCCAAAAAGTCACTTATTTCTGACCAATTCCACATACAAAGAATTTTTTGCAAGGCATATAGTATTGTACTTTTGAACATTCTCTGTGCAAGAAACAGATCCAAAGATAAAAACCCCTTGATAAAGCTTTCTCTTATCAGGATAAGCTTGTAAGGGTAAGCTTGATAAACCTTGATAAACCTTGATAAAGCTTTCTCTTATCATTTCTTGCCATGGTTCAGCAGAAAATACTTAGAGTTACTAGGGGTCTCTTTTTGCAAATCTTCATAGGCAATCTGTTATAAAATACTGTGACTCCAACATTCAAAGTATCCAGAACCCACTACCCTACCACACCCCGCACTGCGCTCATCAGGTCTAAGTTATCACCATCCCTCACCTAGATTTCTACAAGATCACCCGAGTAGTTCTCCTTGATTCTCCCCTTCTCTTCTAACAATTATTTCTCAGTAGCAAAAATGATCATTTTCCAATGCAAGTCTTGGAGCCATGACATTCTTCTTTACAACTCTCCTTTCATGACCTTCCCTGCTCTAATCAAAGTTTAACCCAAAGTCTTGATGTCACTACCAAGGCCTGCTGGATCCATCCCATGATTCTTACTTGGTCTCAATTTGTCCTAACCCAGCAATCTCCTGCTTTTATTCGAAGCACTAGGGATATTCCTTCTTTGGGAATTTTGCTCTATTGTTTTCTGTGCCTGAGTAGTTTTCGCCAAGCATCAGTACGCTACCTTCATCTCCTTCAAAACTTTGCTGAAAGGGAGAGATTCCTACTGAAGAGTATGTGTCACTCCTATGTGCATTGCAGCTTGTTTCCCTACCCTGTACCTTAATTTATAATGACAGCTATACTTCCTTCTGGAATATTGGAAGAAGGAATTTTTATGTTCCATTCGCCAATACGCCCCACACACTTTGCACAGTTTCTGGCATAAAAGAGAACTCAAAGGGATATTTATGTATGATCATAAAAATATATGGAGAAAATTATAGTTTGTAAAACAAGTAACTTACCTGTCAAAGTAACAGAAAGTATAACCACAGATATAACTATGGCCAAAGTACTGATGAGGCAGAGTGCATGTCTGTGCAGAGTTTCACAACTTCGAGTTGTTCTATATTTTTCTTGGTTATGTGTACCTTTAAAGTAAAATATCAGAATCTCATTTTTCTGAAAGCTTTATGAGAAAAACAATTTCATCACAAAAATATACTTCCTAAATCAGCTGCACCACAATTTCCCTATTGCCAATCCCTTTCACAAAAGGTCATGACCCATATGCTATTATCATGGGTCTGAAATAAAAGAAATAGAATAGAATCTCCAGCCATAAGAAATCCTACAGCTATAACCATTTCAATTTCCTTGATGGTGATAGGTCTGTTCAGGTATTCCAGGTCTTCTTGGTTCAGCCTTGGGAGTCTGTAGGAGTCTAGGAATTTATCCATTTCCTCGAGGTTTTGATGTTCCGTGGCATAAAGCTTCTCAAAGTACTCCCTGAGGATCCTCTGAATTTCTGTGGTTTCTGTTGTAATGACCCCTTTTCATTTCTGATTCGGTTTATTAGGGTTTTCTCTCTCCCTTTCTTTGTGAGTTTTGCTAGAGGAGGGGAGATGCATGTCGAAAGTAGACTATGGACTGAACATGTTTGCCACTCAATGCCTCTTTTGCAGACCACAACACCCAAAAGGAGAGAGAGAACACAGGGGATTGCCCTGCCACAGAGACAGGGGGGATGGGGGGATGGGGGTGGGAGGGATATTATCCATGGTGGTGGAAAATGGGCACTGGTGGAGGGATGGGTATCTGACCATTGTATAATTGAAACCAAAGCACAAAAATTGTAAATCTACAACTTTAAAAAAAATAAAATAAAATAAGGGGAAAAAAAAAGAAATCCTACAGCTATAGGCAAAGGAGGTCAGGAAGATGGAAAGAAATAGCAAAAGGTAGAAAGGTAGAAAAGGTAGAAAGGTAGAAAGGTCTGGTGTGAGGATCAGCAGTGAGGCATATTCCTCCTCTGTGTCAGGTCAGGGAATTAGCTCCCCACAGTCTCAAAGACATGCAGATGGCCAACAGGTGCATGAAAATGCTCCTGTCATTCATTAACAGCAAGATTCTGATCAAATGACACAAGCAGATGTCACCTCACATGGTTTAGAGCTGCTGGTCTGGAGAAGAATCAAACTGTTGGTAAAGATGTGGGGAGAACCTATATGTAGCTATATTAAATCCTGAAAACTCAAAGTAAGAGTAATACATAAGTTGAAAGTGGGTTTTGAATCATCCAATTTGCATCTCTTAATATAAAATTAAAGAAGATGCATAGATGACAAATTAGCACATAAAAATGTATTCAAGATAGCCTGAATTAAATAAATGCTAATAAAAATCTGAGTTACCTCTCTCTGCCTATTGAGAGTTTATATTAAAATAAAATAATACAACCAAGTGGAGAATTGAAATCTCAATCACTGATGTTGAAAATATAAAATGGTACAGCCACCTTGCAAAGGCAGCTTTGCGGTTTGGTGCAGTAAATACAAATTTATCATGTGCTAATCTTAGCATGGTATATTTTGATATCAAAAACAATGCTGTTTGGTATTTATACAGGAGAAATAAAGCTTAACTTTACTCAAAAACCTGCATAGAAACATAACACTTTTATTCTTTTATTTTAGGTTTATTTATAAATATACACATATATAATTTTATTAGTAATTCACCGTGAGGTACAGTTATATACTTACAAACTTTCATGCTTACATTTCATTCATATAATGGTTGAGTACCCATCCCTCCACCAGTGCCCATTCTCCACCACCAATGATCCTAGTATTCCTCCTACCACTCCAACACATCCCCCCCCCCAACCCCACACCGCCTCTGTGTCAGGGAATCCCTTTTTGTTCTCTTTCCTTTTGGGTGTTGTAGCTTGCAATAGAGGAATTGAGTGGCCTTCATGTTCGATCTATAGTCTACATTCGGCATGCATCTCCCAAACTGAGAGGGTCTTCCAAACACCCTTTACTTGATGTTTCCTTCTCGATCTGAGCTGCCCTTTCCCCCAACATGTGAGGCCTCCAAGCTGTGGACTAAATATCCTTGTCTTTATCTTTACTATTCTTGGGGTAACAGCTTTATTTTTTTAGCACTAAATTCTGGCAACAGTTTAAATCCTGGTGGGGAAAAAGAAAATGCCACCCAGCACCAAGCAAAAGGAAGAATTAACTCATGGTCACAACTGCTAGTTTCTTATTGGACTTTGGCCTGACCAAGGTCAACAATCAGCTTCTCTGTTCCCTGTAGACCCCTAAACTCTGGGTTACCCCCATGTTTCAAAAAACATTAAAGCATTGATACTGGGCATATCTGCCTTTAATAGCTCATTTTGAAAATCAGCAAAAAGCAGCTTACTGCTGGAATAACACACATAGGACCCCCAAATGTGCTCTTCTCCTCGTGATTCCAAGTCAGTGTACTGAAATTAAAATCAATAAAGTTCCTGCTCAGTTTCCTTCAACTACTGCATTTCCCATGGATTTTCCAGGATCACAGAGTTTTGACATAAGTTCTAGTAAGGGAAGAAGAAACGTAGGACTGATGGTCTAAAACCATTCTCAGCGACATTTCAGGAGATGTCTTTAGACAAAAATCTTATCTCTCATTCTTTCTGGTCCTGCATCAAAAAAAATATGTCCTCGAATGTGATTGCCACCCAATGTCTCTTCTGCAGACCACAGCACCCAAAAGGAGAGATAGAACAAAAGGGAGTGCCCTGCCACAGAGGCAGGGTGGGATGGGAGCTGGGAGGTGGGAGGGATACTGGGATTGGTGGGGGTGGAGAATGGGCACTGGTGGTGGGATGGGTACTCGATCACTGTATAAATGAAAGCCAAGCACAACAACTTGTAAGTCTACAACTGTACCTCATGGTGTTTCACTAATAAGACAAAACAAAACAAAAAAAAATATGCCCTAAAAATTCAGTGTATTCCATAATTTTTGACTGGGACATGGGTAAGAAGTAAATTTCCCTTCAATTCACCAAAAATCTATTTGCCACTCTTAGCAGTCTCCCCAAACCTCCCTTTCTTTTTACCTTTATTTCCCTGAATCTAATGTCCTCCCCAGCATCATGCTCCATCCGTCTCTTTTTTCTCTTCTCCCACCTGAACTATCCTCTCCCAATCCTCTTCAAAGTCATATGCCACCTATATTGCACTCTGACACCATAACCATTGAATTTCTAGTTGGGAATATGGCATCAGTCACGACCTCTCAAATGAACAAAGAAACTAACCAGATGTTTTCCTAATATAAATGTTAGTTTCATAACCCAAAAGCAGTTCAAAATTTGCTTTTCTCATGTGAAACATTCTTACCAGTCAGTTTAGCTTAATAAGTATGACATCCTGATTGGTCAAATAGCTTTAGTTAGTGAAGCCTTATCTTAGTTGACAAATATTAGCATTTTAATTAATTTGTTACTAAATACAAACCATATTTTATGGGAATACAATAGTGTATCTTCACAAAGAAAAAGTAAAATTCAGGAGGAGTAGAGAGAGAAAGAAAGAAAGAAAGAAAGAAAGAAAGAAAGAAAGAAAGGTGGTTTTCAACAGTTAGAATTTCAGTAAAAGATACCCTTCCTTTAAGACTAAAAACAAGCACACATCATTCTGTTCTACATCTTTTTTTCTTTTTTTCTTTTTTTTGTGGGTTTCCTTTGCCTGATTATTTTTTTTTAGACTTACAAAATTTTGTGCTTGGGTTTCAATTATACAATGATCAAATACCCATCCCTCCACTAGTGCCCATTTTCCACTACCACAGATCCCAGTATCCCTCGCACCCCACATCTTTTTTAGGGTTAGAGTCAATTCAGTCTAACCCTAAAAAGGTAAGGGGAATATAGCTCAAAATTAGAGTGTGTGCCTTATATGTGTAAGGTTCTCAATTTGGTCGGTGGTACCATAAATAGTTTTAAATGCTAAATTATTTGTTAATGCTTAGGTTCAGTCTAACATTCTTAAATTTCAAAATACCAACCCTCTGCCTTCCACTCTCTATTAATAACTTAGAAAAGATTTAGGCCCTCAAAGAACCAGTTTTGACAAGCAAATTTATTAGTTCACATATTATAAAATATATGCCCCCGTGCCTGGCTGTCCTCACCAGGGCCTCTTGGAGGGAGGGGTGTTGAGTTTCCCTCTCCCCCACCCCCCAGCAGCCAAAGACCTTGAGAACCAGCCACAGCCATGCTGAGACACTCTCCAGATGTCTGGACAAGCCTCATGCATGAAGGAACTGGCAGAGGAACCCAGGCATGTGGGTCCCGGGGCTGAGATCTCCAAGCCTGCTCGGATGGGTATTGGGCCTTCTCCACCCAGATCCACCATCTTCTAGTAGGTAGGCGTCACACCCACCAGTTGCCGCTGGCGCCAGTTTGGTCCCATCAACGTCCAAGACCCAGAGACTATAAAACCCAGGTTGCATTTGCAGCCACGCAACATCTTACTATCTCGTTCTTACTTTGGAGAACCTGGCAGGCTACCGAAGTACCTGCCTGCACAGCAGAGTCTGGCAAACTTCCCATGTCATATTCAATATGCCAAATACCAGTAACAATGATGGGTTTCATTTTCCTAACCCTGAAAGAGCATTGAATATGACTTTTAAAATCTCAGGGATAGGAAGAAGGAGACGTTACTGGTGCCTGCTCAACGCAAT